TCTTTCATACTTGTGTTTTTCTTTCTATTTGTATTTAAGTCCTAACACTATAGAATTTGATTTACATAATTGTATTTGATTTATCTTAAAACACTGTGACATACAATAAACCTGAAACATCTCAAATAATGAACACTTTGTAAAGGGCCTTAAACCCAATTTAAATATGCCTATTATCTACATTTACAAGCTCATGCTGAGACAGATTAATGACTGTATCAGTTTGAATGCACCGGCTCATTGTTCACCTCCTCTGCTTTGAAACATTCAAAATAAAACGTGAAAATGGAGAAAGACAATCCTGCTGTTCACAAGTGACTGTCAGAAAATTAATCAGTCCCCCTGATGATGACTGCAAATTGCCTGAGATTATGTTGACACGTCTTCATTGCTGCGTGTAGGATGAGGCGATGGCAGCAGAGTTGCCATTTAGCCCACCGACAGCCCGGGGGGATTCTTCTTCTCTAGCATTCTTTTTAATGTCTGGCAATTAAAGGCCGACTAACTGCCTGAGAGGAAGAGAGAGAGGAAGAGAGGGAGTGTGAAGTTCAAAGATGGAGATGGGGAGGAAAAGAGACACACACAAACACAAGCACACACATACACAAATATATCTGGAAAACAAGATGTTCATGTTTGGAGAACTGCAAAGGCTTTAATTCTTTTGATATACGTTCTAATATAGAGTGGTCACTCCAAGAAGTCACCATTTATTTCAGCTCAATCTTGACCCCTTTCATTTCCTCAAAATCATTATCAGTACATTACAATGTCCTTCATCCATTCTCTATAAATGTTCATCAAACAAATCCATCTGCATAGTTTCATTCACACTAGCAGTTGATGCTAATGCTTTCCATATCTATCAATGTGACAGGCGCAGCATGTTGGTTTGTTTCACTCAACAGGAGAAATTAATCACAAGCGTTTAGCATAACAAGAGAACGTTTGAGCTCTGCATTAACTGCACACACGGCTGGTTTCTGATGGCAAAGATAACCTTTTCAGGTTTCTTATGGAGGCTTTTTGTTAACAGTTCTAACTTGACTGCCATAGCAGCTTTTTCTGCTCTCACTTTGGGTCCCACTTATGTAAATTCTATTCTTTTGTGTAGTATAAAATTGTAGTATGTGAAATATGAAGTTCAGGCTGTGCGTGAGCCTGACTGTAATTTCAGTGTGGTAGTTTAAAGAAAAGGCTTTCACATGAGAATGCAGCACAGTTTCCCGTTTTTACGTGAAAGATTAGTCTGTAGATACAAAAATATTATTTTGCACAAATGTAATTTAAGACTTGTTCTTCCGTCACCGAGTGTTAAAGCACTCGCTATCAATGGCAGTTTCATATAAAGTGAAGCATTATGCGGACACATTACACCCAGATTAGATCTATTAGTTACTGCTGTGCTGCATGCAAATGGCAAGCCCATGGGAGAGCGGAAAATCATTTTAGACTTCAATAAGTTACAAGCGGTGGCAAGTCTACCCATAATTTGCACAATGCCCCAGGCAGCAATGACGCTGGGTGCAATTAGGGGGGAAATAAAATTCTACACAGTAAACAAAGGAAAATTGTAAAAAAAAAAAGAAAATACCGATTAAAGAGAAGAAACGTTGCAGAATGAGATTGCCTCGTCTTTGATGAGGTCTGCTGTTGATTCCTTTAGTGATGTGTGAAGATGGCGGGGGGGACATTGCTACTGATTTCAACACGGATAAATATACCATTTGTTGTCATCCGACAAGGCAAGAAAAATTAAGTCTGATATGTCAAACTAATATTTCTTTATAGTGATCAATGTCTTTCTGGTTGAAATGATAGTTTTGTACTCCAGGAACATGTAGCGGTGTGTGCTCTCTGTCACTTAACACAAATGATCTTTTACAATCACTGGAAATAATTTTAAATCATATAGCTAAAGTTGCAATTCAACTAAATAAAAAACTTACATTTGAAAATCTATTTATTTCCCTAAGTATTTAAAAAATAATGCACTTTATGTTGGCTACTAAAAGTAAAGGTACTTAAGCGTGCACCCATGTAAAGTCTGCAGACTCTGTAAAAAAAAGTTGTGTCCGGGCTGCCTTAAATTTTTAAGTTAACTGAACTTCAAACGATAAGATGAGATAAATGTGTGATTATTCCAAAGAAATACAAGGCAAAATGGTCTATCAATTTCTTTTGACTTGAAATCAAAAATGAAAAATACTTTATCAAAAGTTGAATCCACACATATATCAATTTAAATTGAATATATATTTCTATTTTAGTCAACTTAAATCAGTTTATTTTATACCTTTTAGTGATTATATTGGCTTTTGTGGAACCTTTCAACTTCCTTTCAAATAACAATTCAAAAAAGCTATCATCTCTACAGGTTATTCATTTTATCATAAATCAACCAACTTCTCCGGGTTGTAATGTAAGCTGTCTGAATATTACATTATAATTATATAAGAGGTGAGTTACTAATCCACTCCAACTGTTATCTACATTTTATTCTTCAAGTTTACAAATGTTTCCATAGACATAAGCAGCTAATCGTGTTAGTCTCGTAACTCTATAGGCTGAATTTGATGCATTATTAGCCCTGTGGTAACACTGAGGTGAGTTTAGTCAGCTGAATCAGCGCATAAAAAACTTAAGAAGCTCTTCTCTTATTCAACACTTGTCACTTAAATCTTCATTTGATATCAAATCACATTTTTAATTACATTTGTGCATTTGCTTGTGTAACATTGCAGCACTTACTATCCCGGGTTTGTTTGTGTTAGCATTAAGTTACAGTTCACATCAAAGTATAAATTAACTTAAAGCAAACACAGTCTTGACTTAGTTCAGTCATTTTTATTTAGTTTCTGGAATTGCAAAATATTATTTTCTCTTATCCAGACTTACCTCTGTTTGTCCTTGAGCTTCTCACCAACAAGGATACCAACACTGTCTGTCTCTGTGTTGTGTCAAGTGAGGAGAATGGAAGCTGCTTGTACCAGGTGGGGACACTGGTCAAAATCTCCACTGCCACTGAGGTAATGCATGCCAATATTGCTCAGAGGCACCTTGGCAGTACTCAGGAAGTGACATGGCACCTCTCCAAATTCCAAGCTTTGGTTTGCAGGGAATCAGACTTTGTCTGACAATAAAGAGCTGTTTTCCAGAATGCAAAGTGCCAGGTCAAAGATTGAAAAGACGGACAGCAACGGCTATCTTCCAGTGAAAATAAATACACAAAGCAGACAATTTAACCAGATATCGCAATCTCTCCTCCTCTGTATACCTATTTACATTTTGTTTTTATTGAAAATAAGTAATTTAACTGATTCTATAGGATTCTGTTAACAATGACTGATGAGACATACTTTGCATTTCAGAAACTGATGTTGACACCATTGATGTTTGCCTGGATGAACAGTTTCTGGTGGTCTGCAAAAGAAATGGAAACCTTCATTTGATCTACTATGTCCCTGTGATGGCCAGAGCCACACAGGGGTAATATCACTCACCTCATTAATTGTTCACCAGCACATGTTTATTTAGCAGTCAACAATACAAACAGCTTACACACTTAGTTTGATTTATATTATTATATTATTATAACCACTATATAAGTTCCCCTGTTATCTCATTGTGTTAGGTCTGTTTTTTCAGTTCATACCTTAGTTTTCAACTTGTTGATTCAAAGTTATATTAAGTTGATCTCTTTTATAGGCCTAGTTCTGTTCTTTGGTTAGTAAACTCGGGTTTCTATTTTTTGGTAAAATAAAAACCCACCTTTTCTTTAAACTAACTCCTGTCTTTTGTGCCTGCTTGGTCCCTAACAATCGGTGGCAGTGGTGGGATCATTCAGTGAAAGACACAGGATTTTATTTGTTTTCTACCCTGTTCCCCCTGAAAAGAGGACAAATGCATTGTGGCGGTAAAAGTGGAAGGAACAAAGGAGGGCCTGCTGGGGTGCTAGGAAGTACTGAGGGTGAAGGTAAGGAGCCATCTCTGTCAGACCTGATGTCCATTCTCCAGGCCCACATTGGTCAGCAAGAGGCCCGGGAGGCTAAGCGTAATGAGCTAACTGTAAGGCAAGAGCAGCGCTTTAAAGCACTTCATCATGCATCATGAGAACAGCAACTTCACTCACCAAGAAATCATCCATCCACTCTCCTGATTGCAAAAGAACACGTTCAGACTCACTGCCCAGCACAGGTACATCACCATCTCCATCCACATCCCCGAAACCCCCTTGCTGCACTGAGGTAAGAGAAATAATCTTCTCAATCTTAAAAATAGAGCTCGCCATTTTTAAGTTAATATGAATCACTTTTCAAAGTTGGAAAACCTCAATTAGTTGTGGTGACATAAACGTATAAGATTGAGTTAACACAATATTTTCATAGACTTGAGTAAGAGTATTCATGCATTGTTGTTTATAACTGAGCTATTTTTTTTATCTATATATTGATTTGTATATTTATTGATATTATGTAAGACAGTAGTTATAGACCACAGTTAATTATATTTTCTTACATTTTAATCGGTTTTGTAAATCAATATATATGAATCTGTAAGTATCCACTAACTTCAGTTCTCAGCTCTTTGCAGTGTTGATGGAAGTTCTAAGATTTGAAAAGAAGGAAAGAAAAATGTAAACGTATCATAATTTTATTCTAATGTAACATTAAAACAATTAATTGTTATACTGTATTCGTCTTTTGTTCAAATGTGCATAGACACGTTTCTTTAAAGTAATGATTTCCCCAACATATTGTAGTTTTGATGAAAACGATCTTAAATTAGAGTTGAGAATATATATACATCTTTTTTGTAATGCTGGATGCTCTATATCTTCTAGATAATGGGCGTGTCGCTGACTATCCCCTCGTCATGCGCTCCTCCTGTGCGTTTGTCTGAAAGTCCCGCCCCCGCGCTCGCGCTATTGGTTGACGCGACATATAGTCGTTGTCTGATTAGATGAAAAGGCTGTCTATCTTCAGCGTGAACGTGTAAACTAGGAAGTTGCAGTAAAAACATTGATGTGTTGGCATTCTGGAGAAATTTGGAGCAAAGTACAATAAAAGTGTCACACTTCAGTCGTCCCGTGTGTCCACCTGCAGCAGACAGGCGTTTCGAAATGCAGAAACACATCTACTAAGCTGCATTTACTCTCGTTTCTCAGGAACCGTGTAAGTATACTCGTGGATGTATTGAATGAGGGCTTCCTCTACAATCGACTGAATGTCGGTTTCAATTATGTATTTCTTTGCTAAAAAAACAAACAAACCTATATATAGCCTATAAGGGCTAAATAAAACTGCAAGTGTCAGGACTTTGTTGCCCATGTTTGGGACCGCAGATAATATAAAAGGTGCAAATGCATTCAAAGCTAATTTACACAACCCTTTTTTAGTATTTATTATATTTTTCTACAGATTTTATATTTTCGCCGACAGATTTAAAGCTGTATTTTTAAGTGACCACATTGCAAAAAGAGATCATAAAAGCTATTTCATGATTGCACAAATCAACTCTCAATTTCGATTTTATGAAGTCCAGGAAATCTCAGCTAAACTGTATTCCTTTTATAAACAGAACAATATTTAGCCTTTTTAAAAGCCACACTAAAAAGGGGTCAGAAGTAATTTCACCCGATCTAATATTGATTAAGGGAGAATATGTTTCCAGGTTGATTTAACACATTATAAATACAGTTATTTCATACTGCATGACTTAAAAGTGAGCTTTACTTTAAAAACTGGAGAGGTGTTTTTGTTTCATTGTACATTACTCCGCGTGCCTTGTAGAGTCATAGTTATTTACCTTCTGAGGGGCTGAAACTTAAAAAAACATAAAACCAATTCAAGGCAAAGGTGTGATGAAGCTAATGTGGAAGTGCAAAACCCTGCAGTTCATAGAGTGTCCACTTGAGGCTGACTCGATGAGCCCTGGAAGTCACGGACACAAAACCGCCAAAAGTCATTTAAAAAGTGGAAATGAACATGTTTAGAGTCTGGTACAAACAACTACCGGTAAATCAGTTTGATTAGTCATTGCCATCATGGGCACACATTGTACAGAGGAGGAATTTTTATATTTTATGAACGATTCGTGATATCCATAGTTAGGCGCGTAGATGACATGATTGACAGTTGGCGTTGTAACGATTTGTCTAGAGTCTTAAACCTAGCCTCAGCTCTGGCTCTCAGCCTGCCGTTAGTCTGACTAACAGTTAGGCTGAGACAGCATTTCCAGCATGGCGGCTGCTGCCGATGAGCCTCCGAAGCCCCCTGCTGTCACAGATGGCTGACGTCACTCAGGTTTCATCCATTAATATTTACAGTCTTTGAATAAAACTTACCCGGGCCTTATCATTATGTGAAGTCAATAAACATGCTATCACAGTTAACAAATACAATGAAATTCCATCTTTTCACCTGAAATGATGAATGGAAAGAAATGCGTTTAAAACCAACACAGAAAAAGACAGCAGTGCACTTGTCTTGCTGGTTATAGTCATCACTACATCTGTGTTAGTCTTTATACCCAACTGTGATAAATGCATAACATAATGCAACACAGCTGTAGAAAATGTCCACCGTTTATGACAATGGATTCACATGTTGCTTTTTGGCACTTAAGATATAATACTGCAGTGTTACTGCATAACGGTAACAATGTGAGAGCCCGCTGTCTGTGACTGTAAACATTAAATTTGGACAGTATCTCCACTTCCTCTTTTGTTCTCCCCTCTCTTCCTTTAATTTGCTGACTCTGGTTTCGTTCCACTGGCGAACAATAGCTGTGCATACATCCTCCTCCTGTGCCGGCACTAACCATGTTTGAAATGTAGCTGAAAACAGTGGGTTTTTTTTAGTCTAAGGTAAAACTCAGGTCCCCCCAGAGAAGGCATCAGTCTGCACAAGCAGCCAGCCACGCTTCTTGAACATGCTAATTCAGTCTCTTCCCTCTATTCCCCGGCTGCGCCTCTGATTCCCGTTCTTCTAGGATGCACACAGATACTTTTTACCTTTTTTATATTTGCTTTTTTTTTTGTTCTCCCCTATGCACACGCGCTTCTCTCTCTGTCAGGTTTAAACATGTTTTATTAATTACTTTCAGTTCTCATCAGCGTAAAAGGACGTTAAGGATGCTGAGTATTATTTGCCAAAGACTCCATGGGTTTCTTGTAAATCCTGATGAGGCCTGTCCCTCGACTTATACCGGCTTTTTCCACTATTTTAAACAAAAGGCTACAATATTGATTGACGCAGTGTGTTGTGAGGGAACCTGTCTGGAATATAGAACACACTCCACCATAAAAACAAGTATGTTGGATTATTGCAAGAAACACAAACACATTGAGTTTTAGCACTTTGTAAAAAGCAAAGAAATATACAGTATTTTTTTTTGTTTTTTGGGTCTATACATGCACTTAGAAATAAATGCACAGCACTCTATAGAAGCTTTATTTCTGTAACACAAGCACCATCAGTCACACTTGGATAATTATACATTAAGCCTAAGGATACTATTTGTATTGTTCTGTGCACTTTCCTTTTATACATTCGCTGTGAGCTGTCAGGATAATCAAAGAGAGCTCCTGGTGGGAAGGGAAACAGTGTTAGGCTAAATGAGATGGAGAGGAAGTGCACATTCTGCCAACGTTACACACATTGAAGGTGGTGAGAATTAATTAAATCATATCTTGCAGATGTATGTGAAAGATAAACCATCTGCCTGATCAAAACTGACTACGGTTTTTCTATATGTGATTGTGTGTTAACTTAAATCTTTCCCGCAGATTTCACAGTTTATCTCCATCTACAGTCAGGGGAGTGCAGCAGTATCTGTATTTGATTAAATTAAGTGATCAGGTGTAACGCTGACGCCGGGCTGTGAAGTTCTCTCACTTTACAAAATCATATATTTTTGCCTCACCAGACAGAAGAAGGAGAATGGGGAAGAAGGATGCCAGTACAACCAGGTTGCCAGTCGATCAGTACCGAAAACAGATCGGTAAGTCCCTTTAGAAATCCTATTTGAAATGGTCAATTATTCTATGACTTGATCAAAAGATGAGAATCTGCAACTATTTTTGATGATTCATCATTTCTTCGATCTCTTTAATCTTCCAAGCAGAAACGTCAGACGTTTGTAAATGTGAGAATCTGTTGCTCTTTTGTTTTAGTCATTCCAAATAGTGTATTTATATATTCAAATAGTTTTTCATTGTCGTTAGGAGTGAAAGCAGTTTGAAGACGCTAACTCATGGCTCTCAGACACATTTGGTGACATTTTATTACCTCCACAGTCAATCAATTAATTGTAAAAACATTTGGAAGATTACTAAACAATGAAATGATTCATTGCAGTCCTAAAAGCAGTTTTTGTTGAATAAATACATTTTATCAGTGAATGATCCCTTTTTTATTTTCAAATCGGTTAGAAACAAATCTCCCAAAAAACAGGTTGCTCTTTTTTGTTATAGAACATCTTATGAAGTCTTTCAGTGGTAATAAATAATTTATGGCTTAATAAAAAAACATTTTTAAACTCAACATTAAAACAATAAATATGGTAAAATTATTATATGATGTTATTTGACAGCTTTTTTGACTGGTTGTTTCACTCCTTTTTAATAAACTCATTGATTGATGTGGGGAGTGTTACCACAACATTATGATCAACTCTGTCAAGACTTCATGCTCTATGAATCACACATGGCATTTGTTCTGTTTTAGTTTCACTTGTAGTGCAGGCATACAGAGTATACCCACTTATTATAAAACTCAAAACACTTCCTAATCTCATCTGATTCACACCATTGATTGATTGGAGTTAATTATTCTCTAAAATGGACAAGCATCAGTCCAATTACCCGAGGACAGTGAATCCCATGCTAAAAAAACTGCTCCTTATATCATGTCAGAGGCTGTTTTGTCAAACTCTGACGCTACTCTAATAATGCTGTCGTTTTTTCCCGTCCTTCCCCTCACTACACAAAAAGACCTAACTAAGGCAACATGTTCGGTATCAATCAAAAGTTTGTTTCCCTTCAGCGTGGCAGCTGTGGTTCTGAAGAGCACAGCTCAGATCACATCTTGCTGTTGATGTTTTTTCATGTGGAGACAAACCGAAAGGTTGCCGGTGGCAGAGCAGTAGCATTGAGTAACTGAAGTAAACACAGACGGAAGCTTGGTTTTCCATATCAGCTAAAATCTCAGGAGTGGCCTATTGTGTTGATAAAAGTGTACCTAGAATTTTAATTAGACACAAGCGGTGATCACTAGGGCCCAACAGTTATAGGATATTTGGGCTTGATACCGAGAAAAAGATCTGATACCGATATATTTCTTCGATCTATAGATGTACTCATAAATGTACTCATTTATTGCATTGATCCCTCAAATGCATTTATCAAACACTTGTGGAAAAGACATAACAAAGACAAGACGCTCACTCAACTGGAAAGTACCTGTGCATGGATGTGCATCACTGCTTGACACTGGAGAGTGATAATGCTTGTTGTATTCTATATAACACACTCTGCGGGTGTAATACAATGATACTCAAATTAATGATATATGACTGGTTAATAAATCTCGTAATATCAGCGCATATCTGCAATAAAATTAGCCGATTCCAATAGTGTAATAATAATAATATATAATAATAAGCTAATATCGGCCAATGTTATCAACTGGCTGATTTATCAGTCGGGCTCTATTGCAAACTATCTGACCCAAGCAATCAATCATGGTATTTTACTATCGGGGTTAGCCCCATCATTTCCATGGATAACCATTTGTTGGCCCCTTGTGGTTCACATCTTTTTGTTATTTTAATCTGGTGTTTCTTTGTTGTTAACATGGCTCGTCTTGAGCAACTTCTTTTCTGCTTATATTTGCATCTTTTTTTACATCAATTTGAACAGGTCTTTTTTTAGAGTTTTAAATGACATCATTACTACTTCTTGTGCATCATCTTTTTTTGCGTTGCTATATGCTTCTTTTCCGTTAGTCTCATGTGGTTTGCAGGTTTGGCTTGCCCTTCTTTTGCCTCAAACGATGTGAAGAACCCGTCACAAATATCCCTCCATGTGTCCGGCATGTCCGGTTCCACTTCCATGCACCCTGGCAGAGTCCAGCGATCCATGTGGCTGCTGACTATTTGGCCCTCATACTGCATGGACTCAGAAGCAAAGCAAAGTATGAGGAACTGTCAGACACACTGCCAGTGTGTTGGGCACCAGTTTTCCCAGAGCTCTCAGAGAGAACTGGACACTGGTCTGTGTGTCCAAATCACCTTGTAGTTCTGCATGTCCTGCATAATGCAGGACGGGAAGTCCCTATGGACACAAACATACTCACACTCTGAATTCCTTTGGAATTTATGTTTTTTTTAAACACTCATGTTTGTCTTCTTTCATTTTTCATGATCTTCTCATTGAATATATTGTTTCTTATGAATTCTCTGGCTTGAAGTTGTACAAATCTGGATCCAGCAGAGAAGCTAATAAATAAATGACTTGCGCATTAAAGTTAACTATTCAGTGTTTGTTTTGAAAGGAAGAAAAAGTCAAGCCAGCATTAATTGCATTACAAAGAGAAGTCCAGGTTACATGCATTTGCTGCAATTTTTCTTTTTTTGCACAAATGTTTTTTGTCAATCTTTTTGAAAAACGTTTCTGCCATATGCTTTATTTCGACGGCCACTGAAGCTTTTAGAAGCAAATTTGTAAGGTTTTATTTTCCTGCAATCTCAATGAAATAAGCTGTCTCAGCCCACAGTGTAACGGCAGTTATCACCACGTCATCATTTGATTTCAGTTGGAAACACACGCCCGATCAAGATGAGCAGGCATAGATTTTCCACATCCTTCAAACTTTACTAACATTCGTCAACATTAAACTGCAGCATCAGCAGTTTGGCTCCAGCATTTCCACAGTATATTCAACCTATTTCATACAAAACGTACATCATTCAACATTTTTTAGCATGCAGTGTTAGCAGTGTAGCGCCACCTTTCTCACAGTACATTCTGAATCTTTCATACATTTCTTAAACTATTCAACTGCATAGGCCGTAATGAACCGAAGAATATAAAAAGCCCCTTAAAAGGTCAAACTCAGGGTTCATGTATCTATTCTCAGCACTTGGTGTCATCCTTTAACTTCTTTCCACCGCTATCTGTTGAGCACGTTTAAATATTCCACTGTTCCCTGTTTCACACTTCTGTGTTGAATCCATCCCAAAGTTGTCAGGAATTATTTTTATGCAATAACTTGACATACTGTAGGTTTTACCCTCCATCACATTTTCAGAGACCAAAACATATTTACAAACTAGAATAAGGCAAAGAGACAAATTATTATTTGTCAACCTTGGTTCTGTTGATGCATCTTTAGTCTATGAAATCTCAGTGCTTTGTCTATCTGTCCTCTAGTTTAACTTTATTGACAAATTTGTACAAATCACACCTTTCCCGCATGTTAATCCCACATTGCTAATTGTAGCTAGAACCACCTACCTGTGTCGTTATGCTAAGTAGAGCAGAAGGTATACAAACTAATATCTGGTTAGCTTCATCATAAATCTTTTTCAGGCAAATTCAACAACAAATCATCAGAGACAAAAGATGAAAAAAGACCTAAAGGAAGTGTACAGGAAGTAATGGGAGTAAAAAAGAACCACTTTGATTCTTCCCTCGTCTTTTTCACAAAAGTTCAGTTCAATGAACGTCTCTCTCTGTAGACTCTGTAGACCTCCATAGAGGGGCTAATGTTCCTGAGAGACTGCATTGTGGGTTCTTTTAAGGTGGACAGTGATGTCTTTTCAGTGTGGCAGGCAGAGGCAGGGAGGGATGTGAGAAAGCAGTGTAGCCCAGCGCAGGAAGATAATTGGCGATAGAAAGTGTCTACAGCGCTGGTGCAGCAGGCGGAACGGCAATGACAAATAGGAGAGCTCATAAGCCCAATGCAATATCATCAGGATGCGCATTTGTGTGTATGTGAACACTACAGACCCACAGAAACAAACAGCAGGAGAAAGGCACCATGAAGCTTTAAGTCATACCTCGCTGTATCACAATGCCGCACACAGTCTGAAGTAATTCTCTAGGATTTCTCCTTCGTATCAACTACTCATATTACTGGTTGTAATTACTCTGATTTTGCTCAATCAAGTTTTGATTCTTTCCAGATTTTTGTAGGTTTATTGGGCTGGGATGAATTTTTGCATACAAACTTAATTTCTTCATGTGGAATCTAAATAAGTCAAGCCCAAAGAAAACAAAATAAAGCAGAGGTGTGGTGGTTTTTTATTGTTAGCCTGAAAAAGAAAAACTTTCCTTTTGTTATTTAAACCTCAGCTTGCTTAAGTCTTTGAGTATCCTTAGGCACTCTGCTTCAGAAAAGGTACCCTGAGGACACAGAACCAGACAAAGTGTAAATAGATAGACAGTGCTTTCTTTTTCCAGTTGTGGGCTTCATTTTCTCAACTACAGATACCCCGTTAGCTTAGCCTGCTTATTAGCTTAGGGTTTTACTTTCTTTTTCAGTAACTCTTAATCATACAACACTTTATACAAACATTTAAGTAAACAGACAAGTACAGGAAAATGAATAAAGCTTGAACAGTCTTCATGACTTTATGAAAGGCGATAGCATATTCCCATAAGGCTAACTAGTGTTAGCAGTTAGCTTGCCAGCAACAGAAGTTTAACAAAAGCCATGCCTACTGTAGCCTGTAATATATGATTTGCAAAGGGCCCTATCCAGTTTTTATGTACATTTCACAATATTCATTACACATTTCACACACTATCATAACTTCTATATTTTGTTTATTGATATGTAGCATTTATTGTAGCTTACTGTAGTCTCCATTTAGCTATTTTCTAGCTGAAAGTCCCGATTTCTGTAAATGGTGATCAACCTGAGGTGCCCTCCAATCAAATTTCCCCCTCTGCACTTTCTGACAAGTGAAGGAGACATCCAGTGGCCCTCCTAATGAATTCCCACTAGCTCACTGTCAGCTCCTGGAAACATTCTCTACATTTCTATTAGCTCTCTGCTGAGTCAGACGGGCAGGAGGAGGAGAGGAGTTCAGAACCAGGAGGAAGGGCGGAAGAAAGATAGGAAAGAAAAGTTTTAAAAAAGTGGGGAGGATGTATTTAAAGAAGTCTAAATAAGCAAAGTGCGTTGGTATTGCGACAGAGAGGCTTGTTAACCCTATTCTTATCGCCCAGATTCACACATATTGGGTGGAAGCTCATCCTTCTGCGTTCCAGGTTCTAAGTCCAGTAAATTAAGGAAATCATTATTGTAATACTCCTTCAAATCTGGAGTAACATCAGCCCATTATTCAAGGTAAAAAAATACATTTGATAACCCTTTAACTACCATTACATGCCAGCTCATTTTAGCATTTAACCGCTTTCGAGCTAATATTTCATAAAGCTAGGTCTTTAAAGCTTTCCTATCCTAAATGTTAGGAATCAGCCACTTCCCCAAAACAGGTAAGCTAGGTATGCTGCTGCTGATTGGTTATCCTTTAAATATGGGTCAATGGTCATCTCTTGTCTCTTACTTAGAAGACATGATGTTTAATAGTATACATTTACTCTGCTTGTTTACAGAATAAAACCGTGCACTTCCTTATCACTCCTCTATCACCAGCTCATTTTCACTTTATTCTTGCCCTCAACATTTCCAGATGGATACGACTCCTTCTTTCCCCTCCTCCTCCTCCTTCGCTTGTTCCCTCCTTTAATGTAAAGAAGTCTTAATTGGATGGGAGGATAAACTCGGTATGTCATCCCCAACTGAGACAATGTTGAAGCCCATTGGTCTCCATTTCAAATTTAGACTTATCTTCTATTCTATCCACTAATTTAATTATAAATAATTTGAATGAAATGCCTAATCTCAATTCTAATCCAAGTTTTACTAAACCTTATTCTAAATTCAAATCTGAACAACTAATTTGAAATAGAAAGAAAGGATTTACCAATTTGTTAACAGTCCGAATGCCTGAATTGGTTCTCATAAAACCACACACACACACACACACAGTTCAGCAAGCTGTTGCCTTTCCAACCTATTGTTAGCAAAGTTCCTCTTCCTGCAGTATGTTGGTTCTAATTAGACCAAGACAGCCGGCTCTGCCTCAAGTGTAGCACATACACACTCACAGATACCCACACATGCTTTGCCAGGTGGCTGGTTTGCCCACAAGACTCACCCCTGAGAGTTGAGCCCATGGGAAGCAGAGGCAGCACAGGTGAACTTTGAGCAGCTCAGACCAGAAGAGAGGCTTGTATTTTGGATTCATATGCTGACACTGTAAAGGCATTTTAATGCATCATTTAGCCTGTTATGTCATGTTTTGCTAACCATGTGATATTCCTTTTACTGTAGAATTCTTCACTCTTGCTGCATTTTCTTGTCTTGTACAACTCCATCTCCTAAAACGTCTGGTGTTGTGTAAAATGAAAATAAAAGCAAAATGTGATGATTTGCAAAACAGCGAAACCTAATATTCTAATGAAAATGGAAACAAAAAAGAGTCCAAACTGACCTGTATTCCTGACTTGTCACTCATTATACTGTAAATGTTGGGAGCATTATGAAGTGTGAAACAAGACAAAGGTGTGATACAAAGGGCATACCTGAGGGACTGTTTTTCATCCCTTATCCTGGAGCTTCTGCTATCACAGCAGAAATCAATGAAACTTGTAAATGGAATCTTTTTAGTCACTTGATTTATTTCTCTATCCTAGGTAAACAGGACTACAAGAAGACAAAGTCAGTCCTGAAGGCCACACGGCTGAAAGCTGAAGCAAAGAAGACTTCCTCTGGATTCAAGGTGAGACTGGTTTGGATCTCTTTCAGAATTTTAAAGTCTGTTTCTACATGTCTGTCTCAGCCCATCTGTGATTGTGCTTTACTGTCTGTCTGTCTGCCAACCATCTTCTTTCCATTTGTCTGCCTGTTCAAAGGAGTGTCTCACCAGATCACTTTTCATGTCCCGGACTCTAAGCTCTGTTACACCTTCCTGTAGATCTTCAGGGAACATGAAGATAGATATCCCACTGAAATGATGTGATGTGGCCGAGTGCCTAAAACTTGCATTTAGGAATGGGGGGGTGGGGTGGTGGAAGAGTCCTCTGTAGTACCTTGGATTACTCCACCAAGTCTACAAAAGAAAGACATCACTTTATAAACAAATCAAGTGAAGACATAGAAGGGTTCAAATTCTAGGTTTCTTATTTTTAATGGATACATTTCAATAATGTGGAACAGGGAGAGACTATGATCAAAGATGGACGTAGAAAAATAAAATACAGAGCTAAAACATAGTTTAGTAATTGTAAGGTAAAGAGAGGTGAGGGTGCTTGTAGGATTGAAAACGGCGTCTCACACTGCAGCAAACACAAGTTGTTGTGCAGGCCAAGATGGATGATTCCAAGTTTATCACACTGTCAAATATGGCTCTGTTGTAAATGCTTCTCCTCACACAGTGGGCTTTCCAATCAACAGTGTGACTATTACCAGGCTTCTCCATCAGAGTAAACCCTTGCCATTTATAAAAAAAAAAAAAAAAAAGAAACCATTTGAAAAAATCATTTTTTTGTTGCTGAAATCATGCAGTAACAAATGGTTTTGTTTCATTTTTTGTTTTAAAGATGTAAAACGTGAGGTACGCTGTTAGAAAAAATACAATTAAACATAGATGTTTTTTTTTTACTTTATGGCATTGAAAACTGGTTATGTTCACACTCACAGTACATCAAAAGCCAAAAGGCTTCACTTCCTCATTAAGCCTCAGTTGGCACGTAGTACATAGACATGAACAAATCATAGTGAGGATTAAACACTGGGTGAAATGGTCAGGTTTTAAAATATGCATCTCTTAGACACGCAAGGCCTCATTAAGCACGTCTTTAATCCAATTAGATTAGTCCATATCTTGAAATATTGATATTGCTTATGAATAATTCAGGTTTTTTTTCACGCCCAAGACGAGGGGGGAATTTTCAGGGGTCGGATTAAAAATACCTCTGGGACGAGTATATTAAACTGACTTAGACCCTTTGGCCTCAAGTTCGATTGAAATTCAGCCCGAGTGTAATGGATATTTGGTCACGCTTGCTTTCCCAATCGGCTCCCTTTAGCGATGTATAAAGTTGTGATTTTTTATGCAGCTCTGTGATGACAGTAAAGGCTTCCCCTCTGAGTGTTAACAGTTAACATCAATGACTTAGTTCCAGTTTTTATTCTGCCTCTTTCTTCCTCCTTTTTTCTCCTTCCCTTTCTTTCTTTCTTTTTCTCCTCTTCGTCTTTCACCACGTCCCTGGCTGAGATGCTTGCTCTATGGATGCAGCTGGTGGCTCAGAAGGGCCAGCAGACTGCGGGCACACAGAATCTGGCAGCTGCCAGGGCAGGCTGTCTTGGGGCTGTCTTAGTTGCAGGGCAGTCTGGGTAAGTTGGCAGAGGAAAGGGATGGAGATGCACGAAAATGAGAAAGTGAGAGAGGGAGAACTTCTGTTCGAGCAGCAGCGATCACAAAACGAAAACCTCAGAAGTGTCGGAAACCACCCACTTGTTGTATTTGTGTGTGTCCTTAATCGCATGTTGAGTCGTGGTGTGTTAACAGAGGGAGCGTGTTGCTGCCTAAGTGCAAGTGTCGACACCTTTCCCGTCCAGCTGCGACAGACTCTGGATAGCACGGAGGTCACCACGGCAGAGATGAAGTAACTGCTAGGAAATCAGCTGCAGTCTCAACTCAGTTTGCCAGGAGAAGAAGAAGAAGTAGAAGAAGTAGTAACTCCAGCACATGAGCCTGTAGCACAGGAAACAAGCCTGCTGCCTTTTCTAATTGGCACAGCCGCCTTCTGTTCGGTTCTGCATTGTTTTCCCTCGCTCTTATTAAGCCGCCGAATCTGGAAAGTTTAGAAAGATGTCTTATAGAACTGGCAGAGGATGGAGGATACAGATAATGACTCTGGGTATCTTCCAGCTGTCCTATCTGAATGTATGTTGGTTTTCTATACCACACAAAGTGTCTTTTGTGATTCCGCTCAGTGACACTTATTTATTTTGTTTGCATTGATGTTCATACATGACAAGATGCTGTTTTGGACTTTGCAAGAGTGAAATCTGATTATCAGACACTATTATGCACCATCAGTAATGCTAATACAAATCTGAGTAAAAATGATATTGGAAATTAGTCAGACAACAAGCAAGGTGTTTTTGCTGAATCCTTGACATGGATGTGTTGTGATATTAGATGGAAAATCACCTCTTACTGCCACAGATCACAAACACACAATGAGGAGCAGATTTCTTGAAATCAAACATAAAATGTAACTTAATGGTTGGTTATTTGTTGCTGTGACTTGAAATGCTCTCCATTGGATGTTGGACTTTGTGGACGTTATCTGCCGCCCACATACAGCCGCTGACATACCGAATCTCTCCGCTGACACACAGAAACACACACACACACACACACACACACACACACACATATATACATATACACACACACACACACACACAGACACAGACAAACCAAGGAGGAGAATAAAAGGCACACCAGATGAGGGGGAAGTCTGCTGAGCGTTGGCTTGTCGCCAGGGTGACAGGGGCCCTGCTCCCAGCATGCTGAGTGTGCTACAGCTGCCACTGGCGCTGAGAGCCACATGATGAAGATGATGTGCTTTGGTCCCCATCCAGAGGTCTCCATCAGAATGTGGGCAGAGAGGCTGTGCATTTATGTCTGAGTGTGTGTGTGTGCTTGTGTATGTGGGCACGTGTAAATGTGTTTGCGTGGCGAGGCGGTGCAGGAGTCAACACAGTGGGCATCTCTTCTCGAAAACAATGATCTCAATCAAGTGCAGGTGCTTCCTACAGCTCGAGTGTTTTCACCAAACCCCTCCAGCTTGTTTTCGGAGACGAATCGCTGTAACCAGCTGTTGTCTTTCTCTCCAAAACATAAAGCCAAGGAAGAAGGGAGGGGGAGGGAGGGGGGGGGGGGGGAATCCAGATTGCAGCATCACTGGTCCTTTTATTTAAGCTGTGACTCAACCTGCGTCCGAAAACAAACACACACTGTTCTCTGCAATATTATCAGCAGAATGATGAACCCTCCTTTTTGTCTTGTTTTTCAAAGTCTAAAGAGCAGAAGAAAACGCTGAAAACAATCAAGCCGCCGTGATTTGATAACAGTTTTTTTTCTATTTCTCCAAGGCCTGGGAGAAATAGAAAAGTGAATCAAGCCGTAAGAGCCTGGCGGTTAATATATGAAACTAAAGTGCATGAAATTTAAAAGTTTTCCAATTAAGCGGGGGACTTAAAGCTGTTTGGAGGCTGCCGGGATGCAGATAAACGTGGGCCGAGGCTAATGAAGACCAATGCTGCTGATGACTAGGCACTACAACTTGTACACAGATAGCTGCGGCTGCTGCGACGACTTTTAATTGTCCCAACCTTCGTCAGAGAGGAATTATTATTAGCCCCCCCGCCACCCGTTATTTGTGCCGAGCCTTATCTCTTTTGTGTTTTCTCTCTCTCTCGTTGTCGCTCTTGTTTGTCACTTAGTCGTGTGTGTGTGTGTGTGTGTGTGTGTGTGTGTGTGTGTGTGTGTGTGTGTGTGTGTGTGTGTGTGTGTGTGTGTGTGTGTGTGTGTGTGTGTGTGTGTGTGTGTGTGTGTGTGTGTGTGTGTGTGTGTGTGTGTGTGTGTGTGTGTGTGTGTGTGTGTGTGTGTGTGTGTGTGTGTGTGTGTGTGTGTGTGTGTGTGTGTGTGTGTGTGTGTGTGTGTGTGTGTGTGTGTGTGTGTGTGACTTTTCATTTTGTGACTGTTTCTGTTTTTCTACTTGCACCCATCTTGGTTCTCTGTGTTTCATCTTCTTTGCTGCTCTGCTTATTTGTCATCTCCCTCACTGTCACCTTCAGTAACCTCTGCCTGTCACTCACGTATATAAGACACAATGATACATACTTACAGAGTCAGTTATAGGGTTTTAGGATAATATAGATCTGATTAAATAAGAACAGCATGTCCTAAAACAGTTTTTTTTTTTTTGCACATGGCCCAGTTTGCATCCAAAAAGCTAATTTCCAAAATAATATTCAAATCAAATCTTTCTTTTTTTTTTCTTCAATAACCTCCAATCAGCCTGTACTCGGGACTCTTTTAAAGCTCTCCAAGCTCTCCAGTGTTGATTAGAAAGTTGTATGCTAATTAGTTCTCTTGATAAAGAATAACTGGCATTGTTCAATACTCTGAGTGGCCCTAATGAAACTCCAGCTGATGAAGATTGTAATCGAGCGCCACGTAATGAACAAGCGCTCCAAAGTCCCATTTTCAAGTTGAATGCCACTCTTCTGGAAAGCCTCAATTTGTTTGACTATTAGCTGACTGAAAATACAAAAATAAGAGTTGAGGCATTTTGTTGAAGAAAGTTTAACTTCTCTGAAAACAAAAAAGAGCAGAGGAACAATAGAAGAGATTTAAACACTGAAATAGTTTCATTTAGAATAAATATATTGTTCACTGTTTAACAGGTTTAACTATGTTGTATTACAGGAAGTGTTTAAAAAGCTCAAATTAAAATGTGATGATTGACACCTGAATACTAACATTTGTCCTTCAAAGCAAAGTCACAAATTACAGTTTCAATATCTACTATTTACTGAAGAAAACAGGCTTATTAACTTGATATTCTTAGATACAAAGTCAAAGTGGTTTTATGTCTAGGAGGATTGCAGCACATTTAGATGAAAAGAACAACAATAGGGACCTGCCAAATATAGATGTAACAGCTCTGATGGATCATAATAAGAAAACAGTCAAACAAAGTGAAGCTGCTCCATCAAGAGAAGAGGCCGATTCTCTTTGTTCTATGAATAGAAGAACATCCTGAAATTAAACATCTTTCTTAAAATGTTCTCTTTTCTTGGTCAGGATGCGTTCCTGGTCATTGCTGCTATCCTGTTCTTCGTCCTCTGTGTCTACGCCTTCTTCTACCTCAACCTGAGCACAGAGATCAACCTGGATGTGGATGTGGATTAATGATGGCTGGTCACTGGACCGACACCATTCTGGTTTTTATACCTGAGGTCGAGAGCGGATGAAGAATGAATTCAAGAAGTTCAATGACTTTTGTCATGAAGCCCCAACGACGCTAAAGTCCCGCACTTAGGTTTGTCCACACAATCTATCAGCCTTAAAAAAAAAAAAAACTCTTTTGGTCTCTTCAGAAGAAACGACACAATGAAACCAACAACTGAAGAGTCAGGCCGTTTCTAAAAGTGCGGTGTTTTCTTAACAAGACTTTACGCTTTGATTTACTTCTTCCATCCTGCGTTGAATATGAGATGAAACTACGACCAATCATTTTATACTCACTCTTATTATTCTATAGTTTTACATTCAGGAATATTCCAATAACAAAAAAACAAACAAAATAAATATCTCTGCCAAAGGCATAGATGCAGACTGTATCAGAGAGAACAACAAACAAGGCACAAAACAATAACACAGTTTTTCTTCCCCTGACAGTACCTTAAATATAATATGGCTGCAAATAAAAACAACAATTTAAGAGCGCCAAAACAAGACTGATTTAAGCCCAATTATCATGTGACAAAAACAAACAATGCTTTTTGAGCAGAAAGTGTGATGTTAGTCAAAGCTAGGAAAGTCTTATTGACTACATTAGTTTGTATGTGTTTCTATAATACTGGTATCAGATGGGCTCTTGAAGAGAGAACATCTCTAGATAAATGATAACTTCTTATTTAACTCGCAGCCTACATCGGCTTCTCTTTCACAAAAAAGTCAGTGACAGAGTTGTATCTGTGCAGCGCTGATACAACAGTTTTTAAAGCGATAGGAGGCTTATAGAATTACGTCATATAGTGGTCCACTTCATTGTTTGAGCATCCTTGTTACATCTCCCGCGGACTGTACTGGTTGGTATACTCAAATCGTGCCTGAGACAACCTCTTCATGTCGACTTGGGAACAGAACCTGAGTACGGTAAGTTTGTGTTCCCACTGTTTAAATGAACCCAACTTTGAGGTCAAGCCTAATCTGATCCGGCCCGGGTCCCTGGAGTGAAACAAACTTAAAATTCTGTTTGTAATAAAATTTCCATCCAGCGAATAGCCTCTTTTCACTCGAGCCTTCCAAACTCAGGTCAAAGCGATGTTCTGTTTTAATCGTATTCTGCGCCGTCCTGTCCCGCTGTTGTCTCCACTAATAGAAAAATGTAAATCTCCTGCTGAACCTCTTGTCGCATCAAGGCAAACACTCTCCTCACATTCCAGTGCACAAACCTCTCCTGGTGGATATCTGCAGATCACTAAGTGTGAGATTAGAATCCACAAAGCCCTCGCCCTGATTGAACATGTGTGCAGAATACAGAACAACACTTTCTACCTGCGGCACATACATGCAGCACAGAGGCGGGATTAGCATGACAAATAAGATCCCGGTCTTCCCTTTGAATGGAAATGACAGAGACGAGCAATGACTGAATAGAAGTGAGGCTGCATGTTTTTTTCTCATAAGGAACACCTTGATCCTTTTTTTTTCTTCGTGTCAGATGTGTGTTTTGTTGTGATGTGTCTTAAGATATACGAGGGGTTTGTCGACGCCTCTTTGTTCTGCTGTTTATCCTTTGTGCTGCTGGGTGCAAGGACTGACCTTCCATTAACCGTCTCAGTCCCAGAGAGATTCTTTGTCAGCAGCAGAGTGCCGAGTCAAGGGCTTTCATTTAGTCCATTTTCACTTTTTCTCTTTTGAAATTGCATATTTTTTTCCAATGTCTTTTTTATGTTTTTCTCATGAATTATACATGACATGAGATATGTTCTTTAAAAGTCATTAATTGAATTGATTTGACTTTTTCTTTATATTATTGCAATAAATAAACAATTTCAAATACACTACAGGCCTTGTGGCGTCTTCCATTCTTAAGATTTTTCTTATCACCGTGTCTGTCTGTGTTCTGTAGTCGACAAAAACATGTCACAGATATACGTATGTCGTATTCAGTGTCTGCCTTTTTTTTTTCTTCCTTTCTCCCATGACCCCCTGACCTCTAGTAAAAGACTACACGTCCAAGGAACCATTATGATAAGCATGCAGCCGTACCCTCACCCAGTGCCTTTTATCCTCCCCCCGAACACACTCATTCACATGTGTAACAAAAGAGAGCCCAACATATTAGACCTTCATAGATTAAAGGTCACCCGTACCAACCACCAGAGCTTTCACATCAACACAACCTATTTACTCTGAGCCTGACTTGTCATGCTACCTTTGACAATAACGTTCTGATGAGAGCTGTTGATGAATAGGTTTGTCAGTTATGTAGGCGTTTCATGGTTTACTTTGAAAATCAAAACCATGGCCCTCTGTTAAAGAATGATAAATTATATTGTTGTATTTTATTATAGATATCAAGTGTGAACCTAGATGTGTATCCGTTTGTAACTACATGACAAAAGAGATAATAAGAATGATGTATAAACAATGCTTTGAAGGTTGCTTTTGAACAAAGCAGCTGATCAGTTGGTGTATATTTTAAAGAACACACATGACATTATCTTTACGACCAGTAATGTTTTATGCATTCTCCATCCCTAAAGGATTATATTTCACCGAGTGAAGTCGTTACTTTGTGTCTTAAAAATTAATGAATACAAAAAATGATTGTGTCGATTTACTTTTATGGGGTGTAAGCTCACCATTATTCCTCTCGGATCGCGTCAGTGCCAAAGCTATAAAACCGAAGTGTTCTATCAGTAATGGCTTATTAAATTGTATTGACCATAGTGATGTGTTCACTGGTCATGGCCTTTCCATTTGAACGGAACGAGGCTGCGTGTGTGTCAACAAGTGGAACTGTAAAGACAAAGAGAAAATACACACACAGTTATTCCACAACAATGACAAAAGGACACGAGTATATAACGTCAGAAAGAGCTGTGTGACACATCTCTGCTAAATGATGGCATCTCACTGACTTCTGTGAGTCAAACACATGAAATTAATCAGGCGCTATCGTAGCATGAGCGTTGAACACGACCCTTAACGGCGTTCCACAGGCGCACTGAAGCTTTACCTACCATCCTGTGACAAATGAGCTCAACGCTGTGCGCCCAAGTCTCGCTCATTAGTCATGCGGGGTATGTCACCAAGAGTAATTATACTTAGCCCTAAACCTGCATATGCAACAACACACACATGTGTAATGTGTATAATGCTTCACTTTCCCACACTTTAGGCTGCGGGTTAACGTTCTCCTACATGTACGACTGTTTACAGAGACATGAATCATAATTATGACTGCTGCTGAACCCGACTCTGCACGTTTGGAGAATGCAAGGTTTGGCTCTCATGGTACTTGCTTTAGACATAAACAAACATGTGCATTTTGTCACTTCTTCTGTCTTTACAATGACGTCATGTGAACAGATATGCACGCTGACCTCTGTGGGTTTGTGTTTATTTTCTTATATGGCGTTTACCTCCTATTGGTGCCATATTTTGTGTCTTTGTGCTTGTCTGTGTGAGTGATTGCAAAGGGCTTATGTAGCTGCCTCTCTCCTGTATATATGTGTGTGTGTGTGTGTGTGTGTGTGTTCTCAGTATTCAACAGCGTGCCTGTGGCCATGCTCCAGTGGAGCGCTCAGTCTCTCTGACGGACCAGTGAGAAGTGAGGAGGGTCAGTCCCGCCAGGAGCTCATTTAGTCCCTATCGCTATCTCACACACACACACACTCTCTCTCTCTACAAGTCTTTCTGACAGTGAGACTCATCACCCCTCCCACATACACACATACATTTTCACATTTTCTACCTCTCTGTCACACGCACTCGTGCACACAAACACACACTGCTTTGCTCCCATTAGGGAGATACAGTGAGAAGACAGGAGCAATGATGCATGTCACAGAGCACCACTGCTGGTCTCACACATAATGTCTCCTCCCTCTTTCTCTCTACCCAACCTTACCTTCTTTTCTTTCTCCCCCCTCATTGAGGGTTGCTGCTGTATTGAATTTATTTCACTGCTTCAGCATGTTTGTTAAAAATGTAAAAATATGGACATCTGTTTTGAGTGAAGTGCAGACATGTAGAGACGGGGGATAAACATGACGGCTAAAATTTCTTGAAGTTGAATTTAATATTCTCTATTTAGCTACTGCTGTAGAATTTAGTTGTATGGTACGTTTATGTGGGTGTGAACCTGCTATTTAGAGCTCTGCATTTTATTTGCCCTACAAATGGTCTTCTCACATATTTGAAGGCATCACAAAATGCAGGTTTCTTCAGTCTTTATTGTAAAAAAAACCCAAACAAACATGACTAAGTCAGTGCTAAACTTGACAGTAATACTTTGCTGTTTAATTCTCCGCCGACCTCTATTTCCTGTGTGTCTGATATGAATGCATTAGTAGGATTGCTCTGCGCTGTGGATTAGAAACTCCCCTGTGCTTTGTGAGGTGTGTGGTAATGCCAGACTTAGCGGATTCTGCTGCGAATCAGATCCTCCCTTCGCCTTCTTAATCCCTGATGCGCTGCCTAATGACACAGAGAGCGGAGAACTCAGCGGGAGAGGGGGGGGGGGGGGGGGGGGGGCAGCGAGGGCAGAAGAAGCAAAGTGACAGAAAAGTTGCAAAGACTCAGAAGTTGTTTGAGGTCTGTGGGAAACTTTGACTTTGTTTTACTGCCTGAAACTTAACACGCTTCTGATTTGTACCTATGGTGTTAAAATATTCGGGATTCAAAGGAGATGTTCAGGAGCTGCCTTTCCTTTGTGAGTGTGTGTTTACAACCGCTGCTTCCATAATGCGTGTGCTATGAGCAGATAGGACAGGTGCACAACAGGTGTGCTCTCTGATACCGATCCCTCTCCATTTGCTTGTCTGTCCCTCCATGTTTGCACACACTCATTGTGTTCTTCATTGAGGAACACCTGGGCTCTGCTGTACCTGGGCTCGTTGCCCAGTCTTCTGTCAGACACACACACACACACACACACAGAAACTGGAACTCAGCCAGTTCCTGTTACTGGCTAAAGCAGGAAGCAGCAGCTGACATCCTATCCCTCAGATCCCAGGAGACTCAACACCCAGAGTAAACCATCCAAGTGGGAGCCACTTGAGACCGACTCACCTGAGAATCTGGCCTCTTGTACACATCAGTTAGCTTGAGAGGGAGCGCGGCGAGGACTCTGTTAGCACATTAAGCTGATAGGAATTGTGGTCTTGTGTTTGATTCTCTAAGGGTGCTTGTTTTGGGTGTGCATTTGTTTTTTTTTCCTCTATGAGATTTCTGAGCTACATATCGTATAATAAGCTTCACTTGACTAGTCTGTTTTGTTTAGTGTAAACCTTTTCAGGGAACACACAATCCATTTTGAACAAGAAAATCACACACAGGGCGCAGATGGCCTAGCAGTTAGGTTGCGACCCATGTAGGAGGCTATAGTCCTTCAAGTGGGCGGCCTGGTTTCGAGTCATGCCTGTGGATCCTTTCTACCTGTCATTCTTCGATCTCTCTCTCCCCAGGTTCCCACTTTCCTATCAAATAAAGGCAAAAAGATAAATCTTAAAAAAAGAAAGAAATACACATGCAATCCTGTCATCGTAATTTATTTTCTTGGAGACCTCAAAACTGTCTTGAAACTGTCCCAGAATTGTGAAACCGAGTGAGGAAAAAGAAGCCTCCAGGAAACGGAGCGTTGCTGCTGTACTTCCCACGATGGTCTGCTCGGCCATGCACTAGTGAGCGTGGGATTACCTGAGGGAATAACACGCACAGATTGTCTTCAGGTTCTTCTGGTTTCTTGTCTTATTGCAGGAGGAAGTAAGGAGATCTCATCTTCTCTCTCTCTCTTTGAGTCACTGTTCCAAAGAGTAGGCAAGCACCGATCAGTGAGTGCACTCAAGTAGCAATAAGGCTCACTTAATAGATTCACAACCATCATACTCTTTCAGTTCATCTTAGTTTAAGAAAGTTCATTAATTAAAGCATGTTGTTTTAGAACATTTATTTGTATTATTGGACTTTTTGAATCGGTATTTTAGCTGCTAAATGCTCTACATTTACTACCCCACAAACCATTTCATAATCTTGTCATGGTATCCATTGCTATGTCAAATGTGTCTTCCTCAAGCTCAGATATTTTCACTTCTATTTCCAAAAAACATTATGGTGACGGCCAAAATTCTAAACTTGCTGCTACAAAACAGGGGGTTCAAAAACCAAATGGTTACGTCATAGTGGCTACGTCCACTTAATTTATAGAGTCTGGCTTTTGAACCCTTGTCAATGCAAAAAGCTTCCTAATAAAGCCTTAACGATGAGTTAAAGGACTCTAAAGCTATGTGAAACTTAGAAGCTGCCAGCCTAAGACTTCAAGCAGTTCTCTTTATATTTACATTAAATATTGCATGGAAAAAAGAGAAATC